AACAATGGAACCCTGGAATTCCAACTGGCTAACGCGTTTCGAGGACTCAGCCTCTTTATCACGTACCTGGTGATGGAGGCCAATGGAGAGAGGGCTTCCCTTGCGGCTAAGTTTCGGACTCCCCTGAGAGGGGGACAGCGGGAGTTAGGCCCAAAGTTGCACAGGTAGCCTGTAGGAGTGCTGGTTGGTGGTCCACTCAGAAGCACAGCTGGTGCACGGAGATAGGTCTGCAGACAGGAGGCGCCTGTGCGTGGTATGCAAGCCCTTCCGGGATTTAGATGTTTACTGGGTAGTCGTTTCAAGCCAAGGTCAGGTACCAGGTGGGAATCAGAGCGGACGTAGTCCGATGGAATAGCCATACACAGGAGCAAGAGAGAGAGAGTATCCGTAAGCCAAACCAAGGTCAGATCAGGGGTAAGGCAGAGTAGACAGGTCCAGGAGCAAGCCGAGTCGGTAACAGGAAGTCACAGGTAAGAATCACAGGAAACAGGAACAGGGTGCGGGGAGCTACAGGTCATCCAGCAACTTGAGGAAGTGATGAGCCTCCTTATAAAGGCCGTCTGGCACCAGACTGAGGCTGATGTGTCCTTCTGCGGCCATGCAGAGTACTGGCAGAAATGCCAGATCTTCCAGAACTTTTGCCGTGGACAGGACCCTGACATTCTTCCTCAGAGCCACAGTCCTCGAAACGCGTTAGCCAGTTGCAAGTCCACGGTTCCATTGTTTTGGACTTAGATGCTGTATGGATTGGACACCGCTAAGTCCAAAACAATGGAACCCTGGACTTCCAACTGTTTAACGCGTTTCGAGGACTCAGCCTCTTCCTCAGAGCCACAGTCCTCGAAACGCGTTAGAATGTTGGAAGTCCAGGGTTCCATTGTTTTGGACTTAGATGCTGTATGGATTGGACACCGCTGTTTATTGTGACGTGCCTTTGTTTTATATGTCCATTGTGAGTGTGATACCTACTTTTATCCTTTTAATAAATATTCTTTACGATACTGCACTAGGCCGGTGCGCCCTCTTTTTGTTTTTCTTTGTATCCAGTGACTTTGGACTACCCCGGTCCGTTGGGGCAGCAAGGAGTTCATATTGCAGGATATCTGAATTGTTACCATAGCCTCTGCTGAGTCCATCCACAAGTGCAGGAGTACAGAGTTTGCTGTGTATACAACACTGAACCCAGCTGAAATTTATATCAGTTTTTTTTGGTGGTATTTAATTATCATTGTATTTTTTTTATTTTTTTGCTATATACACAAAAAAAATCCCAAATCTTGAAAAACATGGTTTTCGGTATAAAATTTTGCAAAACAAAAATGTTTTTCGTTATACATTTAGGATAAAATGCATTCTGCGTTTCTTTGGTAAAAAATAACCCAAATCAGTGTATATTTAGTCTGTGTGAAAGTTAGAGTCAGGGGCGGACTGACCATTTGGGAACTCGGGCACTGCCCGAGGGCCCGGGGTCAGTAGGGGGCCCCATGAGATGCCCCTGGTACCTTTCATAGGCTTTTTTTTGGGTGTGTTTTTGAGTGTGGGCTAGTACACAGGGGCCCCATGATCCCCTATTGCCCGGGGCCCCATGAGTTGTCAGTCCGCCCCTGGTTAGAGTCCACAAACTTTGGTATAGATATTTGAAAATGGATCAGTCCTGATGTACTGATGGCCCTAAAATGCCAGAACAGTACAAATACCCCCCCCCAAATGACCCTTTTTTTTGGAAAGTAGTTAGTCTAAACTATTTAGTAAGAGGCATTGGGAGTATTTTGAAGTTGTAATTTTTTTTTTCATTTATTGAAAAATGAAGAAAATACTTTTCCTCCCACATTCCAAAGACATGCTGGTAGGTTAATTGGCTCCTGTCTACATTGGCCCTAGTATGTGTATGTATGAATGTGAGTTAGGGACCTTAGATTGTACCCCCTTGAGAGTTAGGGACCTCAGATTGTACGCCCCTTGAGAGGGACCTTAGGGACCTCAGATTGTACGCCCCTTGAGGGTTAGGAGGGTTACTGATGTGAATGTATAATATATATCTAAAGCACTGTATAACTGACAGCGCTATATAAAGCGGAGTTCCACCCTATTGCCCGGGGGCCCCATGATCCCCTATTGCCGGGGGGCCCCATGAGTTGTCAGTCCGCCCCTGTTTAGGGTTATTTATTTACATATTGAAGTTTCTTTGTTGATTTGTACTTTCAAGGGTGAAAGTTTGATCCTATGTGTGAAAGGGTATTATTGATAATTGTTGATTGATACCGTAGTTATAGTTTCATTATTTTCTATTGTGACACCAGACCCCAGCCATGACCAGGAATGTGACCTCAAAGTGTCGCTGTGATGAGCGGCATTCCTACCAACAGACATGCTAAATCTTGCTTGTTATCAGAGCTTAACCAGTGCTGTATCTGGCAGCTGCCCGGGCCTGTTGGAAAGTTTGTACAGATTGTTGTGGAAAGTATTTTACTATGAGGCCGTCGGGTTATCTGCCTGTTACAGTCATCATTGTCCAACATGGGGGTAATCAGTGTGGAATCCAGTGTGGATGGAGGTACCACAGCAAAGCAATGGATTGGTCAGCCAAGTATTAGAGCCCAATTCAGCCTCCCCTTGAAATCAGCTAAATACATTCCAAGTGCAACAAAACAAAAAAGGTGTGCAAAGTCTTAGTTTGTTTCCTTCAGAAAGCAGCTACAGCCAGAGTAGAAAAGCCTGTCCCCTGCCAGCATGCTGCAGAGAAGGTGCCTTGCTCTTTATGAAGAAGCAGCGGTCTCTCTGCAGAGGTCTGTCCCAAGATGAGTAAGACCAATAGCTCTGCCAACAGCAGGTTGTAGAGATGTAGCTCTCCCTGGGTGCCGGACGTCTGTGTGCTGATCTCCCCTTCTTGCTAATGACCCAGAATGTGTAAAAAGTCACTTATGGGTCCTGGTGTCACTTTTCCCAGTCCGTATGGCCAGGAAAGAATCAATTTTAGCTGTATTAGCTTTATTGGAGGGCAAGTGAGACATTAGGGGTCTTGTAGACCCCTGGTGTCTCATTAAAGAGAAACTGTCACCAACAAAATCATTACATAGGGGACTTTTTGTCTCCGATGTGATAAAAAATAAACTTTTGTGGAAAAAAAAAAGAGTAGAAAATTAACAACACACCCAAGCACTTAACCCCCCCCCCCCCCCAATTTTTTGAGCATCTCCCCACCTACATGCACGTACAATCATAAATGCATGCATCAGGGGCACCTATGCACAAAAACGATGCGTATGATATGCGTTACTAGGGATGCACCCATACCAATATCAGTATTGGTGCCGATACCGAGTACAGACGTTCCTCGGTTTACAAACGCCTTGGTTAACGTAATTTTCGCTTTACGAATGAAAATCCATTGAAAATAATGCCTTGGTTTACGATTTTTTTTCGCAATACGAAATAAATTTCCCCAGAATGCATTGCGCCTGGGAGGTTTATAACACCAGCCCCGTGCCTTTAAAGTTTTGAACAGATAAGACTTTTTTTTACTTTTTTCTGACCTCCGGAACGGATTAATTGGTTTTCAATGCATTTATGAATTAATTTTTAATCACGTCCCTGTACAGTATTTATGCCTTTAAAGTGCACTTTATAAAGAGTTTTGAACATATAAACTTTTTTTGACTTTTTTCTGACCTCCGGTACGTATTAATTGGCTTTCACTGCATTTACAAATTTTTTTTTAATCATGTCCCTGTACAGTATTTATGCATTTAAAGTGCACTTTATAAAGAGTTTTTGGCTTTCAGCGGATGTCCCTGTATAAAAAAGACTTTTTTTTTTTTTTTTTTTTTTTTTTTTTCTGACCTCCGGAAAGGATTACTTGTTTTTCAATGCATTCCCATGGGAATCCATTTTAGTTTACAAATTTTTTGCAACAGAAAAATGTCCCGGAGAATGCATTAAATTTGTAAACCGAGGTATGCCTGTATTTTCATGAGTATTTCATATTCAAGGAAATACTCCCAATACCAGGGGCGGACTGACCATTTGGAAACTCAGGCACTGCCCGAGGGCCCAGGGTAAGTAGGGGGCCCCATGAGATGCCCCTGGTACCTTTTTCATAGGCTTTTTTGAGTTTGGGCAAGGGCACAGGGGCCCCATGATCCCCTATGAGTTGTCAGTCTGTCCCTGCCCTGGTACCTTTCATAGGCTTTTTTGGGTGTGGTTTGAGTGTGGGTGAGGACACAGGGGCCCCATGATCCCCTACTGCCCGGGGGCCCCATGAGTTGTCAGTCCGCCCCTGCCCAATACCTTAAAAGACCTTTGGGGTGCAATTTTTGGTAATGGACACAACTTGCACCGCAGCTCCTGCTGCTGTCTCTGAGCCAATGAGGAGGGAGAGAGATGAAAGAGCCACTGCTCTTGTGCACATTGCTGGATTGAGAATGGGCTCAGGTAAGTTTGCATGTTCTCCCTGTGCATGTGTGGGTTTCCTCCGGGTACTTCGGTTTCCTCCCACACTCCAAAGGCATGCTGGTAGGTTAATTGGCTCCTGTCTAAATTGTCCCTAGTATGTGTATGTATGAATGTAAGTTAGGGACCTTAGATTGTACGCCCTTTGAGGGTTAGGGACTGATGTGAATGTACAATATGTATATGTACAGTAAAGTGCTGCATAAATTGTCGGCACTATACAAGTACCTGGGAAAAAAAAAAAGTATAAGGGGGGTCTGGTCATTTATTGAATGGATTGTTAAAGGTCCAGGCTACGGGCTACCATTGCGATCTTGGCTCCACTACCTATTTTTTCCCTAACCTAGTTAAAGTATGCAGCCAGTGAAGTCTAAACTTCTATCCCATGTAGTTACGGCCATCCATGACTGATCCTGTGGCTTCCATCAAGGGCAGCACAGGTTGTTAGAGATCACATTTCAGGCTGTAGGCCATATGCATTATAGATCATCATATAGATCATGTGTGGACAATCCAGGGTAGATGTCGGTGGTCCCTCATGATGAACTTACAGAGTACCTGCAGGTCTCATTCACCAGGACGCGGGTGGAAAAGGTCTCATTGTGGGCATCGATGTGCAGGGTCCGCTCTTTCCAGTTCAAGGTGTTCTTCTGGATGAAGTAGACAAATTCTACCCCGGCAATCTGCAGAGGGGAGCAGAACTCATCATTAGAAATACAATGTGTAGAATGTGTCTATTTAAGAAGAACTCAGCTAAGGAAAGTACGAGGAACTAGGAAGTCCCTTCTCCAGCCCCAAGTTCCTGAAACACAGCAAATAGAGTGACACTCAACACAAGCTGATCGGTTCAGAGTGCAGGACCTCCCACTCTCAGTCTGATTTCTGCCATGGTTGTGGAAAATTTTACAAAGATAGATCTCACTCAACCTCTTAGATGTCTAAAACAGGCCAGAGACAAGTCGAAAAACTAAAATAGCTCATACAATTGTGCCATCAATTGTTTCAATTTTCTACAAAAAAAACCCAGTATGTTGGATCAGGCACTTTGTGACACACTAAGGATGCAAAAAATGAACGAATCGACGATCCACACAAATTTCTTTTGTTTGTTGACTCATCTGTGGCCTGCTTTAGATATTCCAAGTGCCCAAACTCTTGATTCTGCTCCTGTCCTCCTGAAGGATTTGGGGTGTTCATAACCACAACTGTGTGTTCCAGCTTCTCCTGTTATATTCTTCATAGTAATGGGCACAGCAGATGTGCAAACCTGGGAACTTAGTGTAGGAATGGTGGAACCCCTCATAATAGGCATAGCAGGAGTGCAGACCTGGGAACTAAAGAAAGGGATGGTGGTAGCCCCTAATAATGGGCACAGATGTGCAGACCCAGGAACTGAAGAAGGAAATGGTGGTAGCCCCTCATAATGGGCACAGATGTGCAGACCCAGGAACTGAAGAAGGAATTGGTGGTAGCCCCTCATAATGGGCACAGATGTGCAGACCCAGGAACTGAAGAAGGGAATGGTGGTAGTCCCTCATAATGGACACAGAAAATGTGTAGACTCGGAATTTAAAGAAGGGAATGGTAGTACAGAGCCAGAAACTTACTGCAGGGATAGTGGAAGATGCTCATAATGGGCACAGAATGTATACACTCAGAAATGTAGTACTGGGATGGTGGGAGCCCTTCATAATGGACACAGGTGTACAGTCTCAGGAACAGGAATGGTGGTAGCCCCTCATAATGGACAAAGCAAATGTGTAGACTTGGAATTTAAAGAAGGGGGTGGTAGTATAGAGCCAGAAACTTAGTGCAGGGATGGTGGGAGACCCTCATAATGGGCACGGAAGGTATACACTGAGATGTTGGGAACCCCTCATAATGGACACAGGTGTACAGTCCCAGGAACAGGAATGGTGGTAGCCCCTCATAATGGACAAAGCAAATGTGTAGACTCCAAATTTATAGAAGGGGATGGTAGTACAGAGCCAGAAATTTAGTACTGGGATGGTGGGAACCCCTCATAATGGACACAGGTTTACAGTCCCAGGAACAAAAGAAGGGGATAGTGGTAGACCCTCATAATGGGCACAGCGGGTGTGCAGACCCAGGAACTTTTAGGGCAGGGATGGCGGGAGCCCCTCATAATGGGCACAGCAGGTGCTCGGACTCCCTACCAAATGCCAGTAAAACGTGATCCCACCACAAATTGCCTTTTGTTAGGGGTGCTACATATATGAACGAGCCCTTATCAAAGGCCACATCTGCTCACAGCAATCACCTAAATAAATATTTAAAGCAAAAAAAAAAATAACCTTTTTCAGGAGGCGGGGGGCATCAACGTTGAGTTTACAGCTGCGTTCCACCACGTGCAATGAGCCGTCGTCACTTCTGTGTTCGTATAGGATATCGCTGCCCAGGAACACCGGGATGAGCGGGCAGGTGGGGAACCTCTTCTCATACGCCTGCGGTGGGGAAGAGATAAACATATGTAATACTATAACTAAGATGTAAGAGCAACCCGCTATACCAAAATGCCCAAGATAAGGCATACCTGCATTTATTTATTATTACAGGTACTTATATAGAACCATCAATTTACATATATATTGTACATTCACATCAGTCCCCAACCCTCGAGGGGCGTACAAGCTAAGGTCCCTAACTCACATTCATACATACACATATTATGGCCAATTTAGACAGGAGCCAATTAACCTACCAGCATGTCTTTAAAGTGTGTGAGGAAACTGGAGTACCCGGAGGAAACCCACGCAGGCACAGGGAGAACATGCAAACTACAGGCAGGTGGTGCCGTGGTTGGGATTCAAACCAGCGACCCTAGTATTGCCAGGCGGAAGTGGCGCAGCAAAAATTATACCCCGTCACGTTCAGGGAAAGCAACCCATTCTACTCACATGTGGTTGAGGTTAGAGCAAAAAAATTCCAAAGCGTTCACATACAGTGAGGAACAGAAGTATTTGAACACCCTGCGATTTTGCAAGTTCTCCCACTTAGAAATCATGGAGGGGTCTGAAATTCACATTGTAGGTGCATTCCCACTCTGAGAGACAGAATTTAAAAAAAATACAGCAAATCACATTGTATGATTTTTAAAAGAATTTATTTGTCTTGCACTGCTGAACATAAGTATTTGAACACCTAAGAAACAGCAAGAATTCTGGCTCTCAAAGACCTGTTACTGTGCCTTTAAAAAGTCCACCTCTACTCCACTCATTAATCTAACTTAGTAGCATCTTTCTGAGCTCTTTAAAAACACCTGTCCACCCCACAGTCAGTCAGATGCCAACTACTACCATGGGCAAGACCAAAGAGCTGTCAAAAGACACCAGAGACAAAATTGTGGACCTCCACAAGGCTGGAAAGGGCTACGGGGCAATTGCCAAGCAGCTTGGTGAAAATAGATCAACTGTTGGAGCAATTGTTAGAAAATGGAAGAGGCTAAAGATGACTGTCAGTCTCCCTCGGACTGGGGCTCCATGCAAGATCTCACCTCGTGGGGTATCACTGATGATAAGAAAGGTGAGGAATCAGCCCAGAACTACAAGGGAGGAGCTGGTCAATGACATGAAGAGAGCTGGGACCACAGTTTCAAAGGTCACTGTCGGTAGAACACTACGCCATTATGGTGTTAAATCATGCATTGCACGGGAAGGTTCCCCTGCTCAAGTCATCACATGTCCAGGCCTGTCTGAGGTTTGCCAATCTGGATGGATCTGGATGATCCAGAGGAGGCATGGGAGAAAGTCGTGGTCAGATGAGACCAAAGTAGAACTTTTTGGTCCAAACTTCACTGGTCGTGTTTGGAGGAAAAAGAAGGATGAGTTGCATCCCAAGAACACCATCCCTACTGTGAAGCATGGGGGTGGTAAACATCATGCTTTGGGGGTGCTTTTCTGCGAAGGGGACAGGACGACTGCACTGTATTAAGGAGAGGGTGAATGGGGACATTTATTATGAGATTTTGAGCACCAACCTCCTTCCCTCAGTCAGAGCATTGAAGATGGGTCGTGGCTGGGTCTTCCAACATGACAACGACCCGAAGCACACAGCCAGGATAACCAAGGAGTGGCTCCGTAAGAGGCATATCAAGGTTCTGGAGTGGCCTAGCCAGTCTCCAGACCTAAATCCAATAGAACATCTTTGGAGGGAGCTGAAACTCCGTGTTGCTCAGCGACAGCCCCGAAACCTGACAGATCTAGAGGAGATCGGTGTGGAGGAGTCGGCCAAAATCCCTGTTACAGTGCAAACCTGGCCAAGAACTACAGGAAACGTGTGACCTCTGTAATTGCAAACAAAGGCTTCTGTACCAAATATTAACACTGATCTTCTCAGGGGTTCAAATACTTCTGTTCAGCAGTGCAAGACAAATACATTCTTTAAAAATCACACAATGTGATTTCCTGAATTTTATTTTTTAATTCTGTCTCTCAGAGTGGGAATGCACCTACAATGTGAATGTCAGACCCTCCATGATTACTAAGTGGGAGAACTTGAAAAATCGCAGGGGTTCAAATACTTCTGTTCCTCACTGTATCTCATATCTGCACTAGAAGAACCTTTTGCAAATGGACTCCAGTTCCAATGCAAAGCCTTAAAAGGTCACACCGTCAATCCACTTCTTATATGCAAAAGATGCACCACAGCTATCCCATGATCACAAGCCCAGGGTAAAGCCTCTGGTAGACAGAAAACAAAGGAAAAAAGGGGAAGTGCAACACCATGCGTAATAAAGCTCATTCAGTAAAGTGTTTTATCTCACAACGTGTTGCGCTTCCTCATTTTTCCTTTGTTTTATGTCTACCCACACATGGTTGCTGTGTGGTAATGCGGCATTTATGGGGTTAAAACGGGTGGCGAGGAAGCATCATATGACCTCCTCACTGCCTGTCAAAGTTTGCTGCATGTCCAAACTTAGCCTTAAAGAGACCCTGTCACCAACTTAACAAAATGCCAATTTCTATAAAACTTTCTTGGTTTACTTGCAATGTGCCTTTAACCACTTCAAGTCCGGACACTTTCACCCCCTTCCAGTCCGGGCACTTTCCCCCCTTCCAGTCCGGACACTTTTACCCCCTTCCAGTCCGGACACTTTTACCCCCTTCCAGTCCGGACACTTTCCCCCCTTCCAGTCCGGACACTTTCCCCCCTTCCAGTCCGGACACTTTTCACCCCCTTCCAGTCCGGACCCCCCCCCCTTTCCAGTCCGGACACTTTTACCCCCCCTTCCAGTCCGGACACTTTTACCCCCTTCCAGTCCGGACACTTTTACCCCCCCTTCCAGTCCGGACACTTTCACCCCCCTTCCAGTCCGGACACTTCCAGTCCGGACACTTTCACCCCCTTCCAGTCCCGGACACTTTCCCCCCTTCCAGTCCAGACACTTTTACCCCCTTCCTGTCCAGGCCATTTTTTCAGCTTTTAGCGCTGTCACATTTGAATGACAATTGCGCGGTCATGCAACACTGTAACAATATGAATTTTTTAGCATTTTTAGCAGATACAAATTTATTTTGGTGGTATTTATTCACCACTGGGATTTTTATTTTTTGTCAAATAAATGAAAAAGTCCAAAAAGTTTGAAAAAAAGTGTTTTTTCTTATACAATTTTGCAAATAAATAATCTTTCTTCATAAATCTTGGCCAAAATTTACTCCATTATATTTTTAGTAAAAAAAAAAAACCCAAATTAGTTTATAAACAAAAAATATAATTAAAAAAAAATTTTTTTTACATTTTTATTTTATTTTTTTATATAATCATTTATGTTTTTTTCACATACCGTCACCCTAGCAGTACAGTGTCACCATAGTGATACTGTACTATTTGGGGGTGATGAAGATTTTTTTTTTTTACACTAATTACAATTACTCCCAAAAAGGCTGTAAAATCAATCATTTCTCCTTCTCTTTGGCTGCATTCTTGCAGCCATTGAGAAATACTGTGAGAGCTGTGATTGGTCACGACTTGTCACATGGTACAAGGCTGTTGTGAATGGCCTTGTACCATGTGACCTCTGTGATCATTCACACGTAGTAAGCAATGATGTCAGAAGTGACATCTTGCTTACTATTATTCATGTGATCACTGATTGGCCAATCAATGATCACATGATTGGGACCTTGCACAATGATCCCGTACAGCAATCAGTGTTCTCCAGACACAGCGGGCACCGGATTGCGCACTGGCAGGGAAGCGGGGAGGACGTTTATAAACGGCCACCCGCCCCTGCACTGCTTCCATCCTGCCATTTATATACATGGACTGGACGGGAAGTGGTTAAACTAGCCAGAAAATGTGACTTCTCCATGAAGAGTCAGTTTCTTAGCACAGCCCCCTCATAATCTCTCCTCTTTTAGGAGTATATAGTTACTATCCGTGCTGCCCCAGCTCCTCCACCCCCTTTTTCTTGTATATAGCTGTCAAGGGAAGAGAGAACAGGAATACTATAGAGGGTCATTTGAGGTTGCTGGATCTGCCAGCATCACATCCAAGATGGCGGTGTCCAACAGCAGTGTAAGGGCTTTCGGATGTCTACTCAAGGGAGGCTTTTACCAGAAATAACAAATGTAAAACACATTAAATGCACATATAATCTTATAGAATATAGAAGATTTTTGTTGAAACGAATGGTCTGGGAACAGGGTCTCTCAAGAGTCAGGTTGATGGTCTCATTGCAGGTGGAAATCTTCGGTGACATTGCTGATCTGACAGTGAAGGTGTTACTGCCACTGACAATTGTCACTAAACACGATGTGGATAAGCCGCTCTCAGTAATCTTCTTTATAGCTAAAAATACAGACAGCGCAGACACAGTATGGGAACGCCGTAGGAAGGTGGGAGGATGACTCCGTGTCAGGATGGGCAGCTCTTTTCATGTCATAGAAGACAGGTCCTCCTCAACTGGTGAGGTATGTCCAGGACAGGGGAGGCTTTGTTTATGTGCACATTTGTTGAGAATCTTACAAACAATAACTAAGACATAAAACATGGAAAGTTTATCCATCGGCCCAATAAATTGTCCTCTCCTTCCCCTGTCCAAATGGCAGACAGTTGCTAGACAACTATCTAACCAAGCTGTTCCCAACAAAGGTTCTTTGGAACCCTAATATTCCTCCAAAGGTTGCTAGAGGTTCCTTGAACTATGAGCAACTTCTGCCTCTTGTGAGTGACCACTAACACTGGTGATCTTTTTAGCTATCTGTAAAAGGGGGACTCTTCCCAATGACCACAAATGTAAGAAGCATTCTTCCCAATGACCACAAATGTAAGAAGCATTCTTCCCAATGACCACAAATGTAAGGAGCATTCTTCCCAATGACCACAAATGCAAGGAGCATTTCCCAATGACCACAAATGTAAGAAACAGCTTTCCCCCGACCACTAATGTAAGAAACATTCTTCCCCCTGACCAGCACTGTAAGAGGCATTCTTCCCACTGACCAGCACTGTAAGAAGCATTCCTCCCACTGACAACCAATGTAAGGAGCATTCTTCCCACTGACCACCAATGTAAGGAGCATTCTTCATTATTCTCACTGACCAACACTGTAAGGAGCATTCTTCCCACTGACCACAAATCTAAGGAGCATTCTTCCCAATGACCACAATGTAAGGGAAATACTTCTATAAGATCACCATTGTAAGGAGTGTTCTTCTCAATGGTCACCTATGTAAGAAGTATTATTCCCACTGACCATCAATGTAAGTGGAATTCTTCCCACTAACCACCAATGTAGGGTATATTCTTTCCACTGACCACCAATGTAAGGAGCATTCTTCCCACTGACACCAATGTAAGGAGCATTCTTCCCAATGACCACCAATGTAAGGAGCATTCTTCCCAATGACCACCAATGTAAGGAGCATTCTTCCCAATGACCACCAATGTAAGGGAAATGCTTCTATAAGATCACCATTGTAAGTAGTGTTCTTCTCAATGGTCACTTATGTAAGAAGTATTATTCCCACTGACCACCAATGTAAGTGGAATTCTTCCCACTAACCACCAATGTAGGGTATATTCTTTCCGCTGACCACCAATGTAAGGAGTATTCTTCCCACTGACCACCAATGTAAGGAGTATTCTTCCCACTGATAAACATGGTAGGCAGTGTTCTTCCCAAATTTTCTTTATTAAAAAAGTCTTGCAATCAATAAACATAAAATCATATACAGAATATCCAAAAATAAATAATTATATACATATTTACACAAAAACGAAAATAAATATTGCAAAATCTGCTGTCAGACAAGAGCAAAACTCTCAGAAATGAACATGTCATTACTGGGGGAAATAAATCTTACTAAGACTCACATCACTACACCAGACATCAAACCTGCGAGGTCAAGAAACAACCCCGCCCCCATGCATGCAGCCCTTCTTCAAAAATAAGATTTTTAACCAACAAAAACGAAGGAAGTGAAAAGAACAGCAAAATAAAAGAGCCCCTCACCCAGAGATGAACAGTTCAAAGACCAAAGGCAGGTCTGATATTCCTCTATGCCCTTATCCAGACCACCCGAGGATCCTTGCCCTTCTCAAGACTCCGAATCTTTCCAACCTCACTCAGAATATCATGCACCACCACCTCAACACTTTCTTCCGCAGGGTAATCTGACACTGTGTATTCCATGTGAAGTAACGAACAACTATACTAACTATAAAAAGTGTATCCAAATCAAAGTCCCAGCGAGCTGGGAATGCCCCGTACACCCACTCTGCAAAACTCATGCGATAGAGAAAGGGGATGCCCAGAACCCTCTCCACCCTTTTATACACCTCTATGTTAAAGGGACATTGGAGCAGAAAGTGTTCCATAAAACTCCACTTTACCAACACACTCCGCTCTAGGACAATCCCGATCATCCACAGGGCGTGCTTCATGTTCCTTCTCACATAGAGCTTTGCATGGAAAGCGAGCCAGGCTTGATCCCAAATTTCAAAGTAATTCTCTCCAAATTAATTAAACGCAACCCCTCCTTCATTACGGAGCCTGGGAAATCCTTTAAGGCCAGTGACATACTGAAAGAAGAAGCAAAAATCCTATCCTCCAGAAGCTTCCTGGGAAGGGACCTTATATCCTCCATTGTCACCTGCCACTGCCGAAGTATTTTCAGACACGGGGCAACATAAGCCAGGAGCTTGCCATATCGGACTCTCAGACTTTTCAATCTTGGCTTCAGCCTTTTCTGCATTGCTGGGAAGATGGCGGGGCAAGTGAAAAGTACCCACCCATCCCAGCGGGGTCTCTGCTAACATATTACCAAGATTGTACTTTAAGAAGCTGACATATAAAAAGATCTGGATCAGGTAAGTTTTAATCAAGTCAACCCTCTCCCTCAAGGAGAGCCTCCATCTCTTTCAGCTTGCTACTTTGGCATTAGCATCCACCAACCTGCTTTCGCAATTTTGATGACCATAGTCACCAGGACCAAATTTGATACCCAACATTTTAATATCCTGCTGGGGCTCCGGGAAGGCGTCCAGAAATTCGAAGCTTTCACCCTCCTCACCCATCCAGAAAACTTCACTCTTTCAGTGTTTTTCCCACTGATCACCAATGTAAGAGGAGGATTTCCCACTGACCACTAACATGAGGAGCATTCATCCCATTGACCGCCAACGTAAGGAGTGTTCTTCCCAGTGACCATCACACTAATGTACAGTGAGCTGTATTTATTAGTAGGAATTCCTCAAATATGAAAGTTATTTCAAGGGGTCCTCCATGTTACAATTGTTGAAAAGGGCTGGTCTAACTCATAGACATCATATCACCCACCTGGCTTATAGAAAAGTCCCCCCCTCTCCATTAACCTTTACGTTCCATCCCAGAGACACAACAGGAAGCAAGAGAAAATCTCTCCAAAGTGATGAGACTTCCTCTCTTAGACAGTTGTCACTGGAACAAGTGTCTCCATTGGAAGTTTTCCCCTTTATTCATGAAAATTGTATATTTTGTATTGTCCAACACCTTCTGTCCATGTGACAATATTCACTAAGGTATATAGCAAGGGAGAATCTTCCAAGCAAGGACAACGTGTAGCATGTATTTATATAAAAAAAAAATGCATAGCTGTTTAGCCATTGAGCAAAATTGAATGTTCTCAGGTTATACTCTCTGCAGATCAAATGTGTGAATGTGGATGAAATACCACATTATAGTCACTAGATGGAGTCCAGGAGAATATTTGTTTCCTATGATAGTCAGTGCCATCTAGTGGCCAAAATGCAGTACTTTCCCCATTTACACAGGAAATATACAGTAGCCTGAGAACATTCAATTTTGCTGTATCCCCCAGAATGAATTCATATGCAATTTCAATGGATGAGCAGGTATGTAATTATTTTTATTATTTATTTAATATTTATTTTTATAATTCATTATGTAAATAAATTTAAACAAATTTAATATAATTTAAATAAATTGTTTTTTTTATACATACATCTCTTAAAGTGTATGTATACCCTAACAATGAACTTCCTCTATTTGCTCCCTTTTGGCCACTTAAATATACCATCAACAGTGTTTTGTTATATGTGTTTTATACGTGCAAAAAAAAAAAAAAAAAAAAAAGAATAGTTGATCCTGCCAGAAATACAGTGAGTAATGATAACTTCCTGTGCTCTCTACCTACACTGACTTTTATCAGTTACATTGTTCCTAGCTATCTCTGATATCTATCAAACACCTCCCCCTATATTATGGAGAAAAAAGGAGGGTCAGGCATTCCTGTAGACCTGTTCTAGGATGACAACACTGCTCCTCCAGTCCAAAACAGCGAGTGAGCGTTGTCACCCTAATACAGGAAGTACGTAAGTATAGAAAAATGAAATCCAATGCAGCCACTACATCTAAGGAATGGTAAGTTGCAATATGTTACATTGTTGTTCTTGGGTTTAAATATGTGTTTCTATGCTTCCATAATGCCATTAAATTACACAAACCGATAAGGAAGAGGTCTGAATAACATAATGGAAAAAAAATAACATATTATATGATCCAATATTGATATGAAATCTAAAATGAACAGATCCTGCCAGTTCTTTGACCCCCCCCCCCCAATGGCGGTATTATATTAGATTGTATTGTATATTATATTCTATTCTATATTATATCATTACTATTATGAAGAATATAACTGGATATAACATTTATAGGTAAAGTTGATCCAGGGAATATCGGATTGCCTCTCAGGGGATTGCCTCAGGGGAAGGAAGGAATTTTTTTCTGCAGGAGCAAATTGGATCGTGCTTTGCTGGTTATTTTTGCCTTCCTCTGGATCAATTGTCGGTATAGGATTATAACTTTGTTTTTTTTTTTTTTCTATGGTTGAACTAGATGGACTTTTGTCTTTTTTTCAGCCAGACTAACTATGTAACTATTTATATTGGGCAGAATATACTTTGTATTGTGTTACATATACAGTTGGTACCAGGATTTCCTCCCAGGGGGCAGAGTTTGTGTCTATAGAGTGTCCTGGGTGTGTGTGCGGTATATGGGCAGCCTGCACACTCTGCGTCTTTTATCTCTGCCTGTCAGCGTTTTCCTGCTCCGTGTTTCTGTCACTTGCGGGGCTATAATTAGACGGTGCGCTCCCCAATACATCATTTTATAGCCGCTGTGGCAGCTTCCCCCAATGTGAGCGTCCTACTAAAAATACACAGAAATATTGTTCCCTCTCAAATCCACCACATTGTGATCTTGCCTCACTTGAAACAGGTTCACTTTAAAGCTTAGGTTCACATTTTTCCGCTGGTTCACACGTTCTTCTGTGTTCATTTTCTCGTTATGTTCACACTTCCCGCTAGGTTCACATTTTTCCGCTGGTTCACACGTTCTTCTATGTTCATTTTCCCGCTAGGTTCACTTTGGGGTTGATTTAATAACAACTGGAGTGTAAAAAAATCTGCCGCAGCTCTGCATAGAAACCAATCAGCTTCCAGGTTTTATTCTATAGCTTAAAGCGGAGCTCCACTCAAAAGTGGAAGCTCCCCTTTTCTGCCTCCCCCCATCCTCCGCTGACACAACTGGCACCTTTTGGGGAGGGGAGAGGGTACCTGGTTTTGACAGGTACCTGCGCCCACTCCCAGCTCAGTTCACCACGGCAAACCCCCATTCCCCACAGCTCTTTGGGACACTTCCAAGGTCCCAGAGGACTGCGGCCCCATTCACAAAGCGCAGCGCGCTTCAGATAAGCACTGTAGGAAACTGGCAGTGAAGCCACAAGGCTTCACTACCAGCTTCCCTTAGTTAAGATGGCAGCTCCAGCACCCGAGAGCCGATTGAAGAATAAGCTCAGGATGAAGACACCGCTGGATGCATGGACAGGTAAGTGCCCTAATATTAAAAGTCAGTATTTGTAACTGCTGACTTAATTTTTTTCTTTTCGGGGGGATGACAGAACTACGCTTAGTGTACGCTTCACTGAACAAGCTGGAGGCTGATGGGCTACCATGCACAGCTACACCAGATTCTGAATGCTCCAGTTTTAGTTAATTAACCCCACTGTCTGCTAGGTTCACACTTTCTGCAAGGTCCACACTTTGAACCTAGAGGAAAAGTGTGAACCTAGCGGACTGTGTGAACCTAGTGGAACACTGTTCCACTAAGTTCACATGGTTGCATAGGTTCACACTGTTCCACCAAGTTCACACTTTTCGTCTAGGTTCACACTGTTCCACCAAGTTCACACTTTTCGTCTAGGTTCACACTGTTCCACCAAGTTCACACTGGTCCACCAAGTTCACACTTATCCTCAAGGTAAAAACTGGTTCCACCAAGTTCACACTTTCAGCTAGGTTCACACACTGTTCCAAGTTCACACTTTTCCTCAGGTTAGGTTCACACTGTTTCCACCTAGTTCACACTTTTCCTCTAGGTTCACACTGTTTCACCAAGTACACACTTTTCCTCTAGGTTTGCACTGTTCCACCAAGATCACACTTTTCCTCTAGGTTCGCACTGTTCCACCAAGTTCACACTTTTCCTCTAGGTTCATTCTGTTCCACCAAGTTCACACTTTTCCTCTAGGTTCACACTGTTTCACCAAGTACACACTTTTCCTCTAGGTTTGCACTGTTCCACCAAG